CCACGTAGGACATGTAGTATGCGTCAGTCCATCCTGTCTGACGTCCTGTCCGCCATGGCCTGTCTCATGGAACGGACAGACTCAACAGCCGTCCTGTCTCACAGATCAGTGGATCGTCGGTCTATGAACCCTAGACCCTAAACCCTGGACCGACTTGCACTTCTGACACTTTGCTCATGCATTGCTTGGCCTGCAGGCTCCTCTCCTCTCACCCGAGTGTGACTGATGTCGACGGCCATTTTCAAGATCTGTGAATGTCGCTGCGGGCAAGCCCCTTGCGAGCTTAGAACGGGAGCTGGAAATCGCTTTTGAGGGCACAAAATGGCCAGGGAGGGGCAAAGAAGCGGCGGATGCGGTGGCCTTGCCATCACGCCATTCATGCTGGTGCAAGGAGGAACTTTTATCCATCCATCTCGTGCGTGTTCCCTCTTTGCAGCTTCTCGTGTTGACGGCATCATGTGCCCTCTGTGAGGTGTCGGCCAGGCAGCAAGACGCTCCCACGGGTCTGCTGCAGCTCAAGAAGGGCCAGCACAAGCGGCACGGCCACACCCACCGCCATGGCCATGGCAGCAACAGACAGCACCAGGAGGCCCACGAGAGGGCACCTGCACTGGGTGTGGACCAGTTCGACTCCTCACTGCAGAGGGCGGCGCCGTATGACGATACCGTCCACACCAAAGAAACCGCAACGAACAAGTGGGAGAAGTGGGAAGGAACATGGAAGGAAAAAACTGATGTGCGTGTCCGCTTTCAGTGCTGCACATGCCACGGCGGCCAGCCGCCCTCAGCAGCAGCAGCAGCAGCAGCAGCACATTACTCGTGCCCGGGCTCCTCCCTCTATCGCCGTTGACACGACCGACACAGAGTGGGACGAGGTCATTGACGATACGAAAGACAAGGGAGGGGGCACTGCAGCTGATACTGGCGACAGGGAGGCGCCGACAGAGATGGATCTGATGGCTTCGAGAAACAGGGGTGGGGAGAGCATCCAGCAGAGAGAGGAGAATGGATAAAGGCGGCTGACTTTCCTTTTTCTGCAGGCGGAGTAAAGGATAGCAAATCAGAGGTGGTGGGGTTGGGTGCTGCCGCTGTCGATATCAATAAGAGGGCCAGGCCGAAGGGCTACGACACGGTCGGCGACACACCGAGAGAGACAGACACAGAGAGGGAAAGGTCTATCCCTGAGTGCACCGCTCTCTCTTGACAGTGTCTATCCTTCGCCAGTATGCTCAGGGACAAGGGGGTTGTCGGTAAGTGGCCCCTCTCCAACGTATATGTGACTCCCCACCGCTGCGTTGTGCTGTGCCATTCTGTCAGGTGTCGAGCTGGTCAAGACATGGCGCAACACATGCCAGCCGGCCATAGAGGTAGGTACCTCCATCCATCAGCACACAGCCATCCATCTGTTGGTGCTTTCGTGCGTTCCTGTGTTTCAGTCTGGGGTCGCATCGGACTCATACGGCATCATGTGTGCCAGCCTGGGAGGAGCTGTGGAGCCATTCGCACAAGACACAAACTACGACGCGGTCGGTGAGAGTGAGCCGAGGAGTGTGTGTTTTGGTGTGTATGGATGCATTGTGTGTTGTGTGTGTCAGGGCGAGTTATGTCATGCGGTGCTCAAGGTGTTCCACGACCTCACCGCCGGAGACGCACCCGCACCCGCCACCATCAGCGCAAGGGAACACGCCCATTAGCAGACGGACCTCTGAAGGTGTTGTGTGTGCGTACGTGTATCGAAGGTGGATTCCCTGTGTGTGTGTGTGTACGTTCGTGTGAGAGAAATAACGGTTGACCATTCGTTCCGTGGCGGATGATTGGTCGCGTCCTCTCACCACGCGCACATGAGGGTCAAAACACACACACACACACACCATTAGATACACACAGACACAGACACATCGAAAACATCTGTCTATGTAGTTCTCATAGGCGGGGCGTCATCCATCCATCCATCCACCATGTCGATCGATCGGCGGCCGCACCCTTTGGTGGCCAAAACACGCACACACATACGCACTCGACCCCC